TTCAACCTTGCCTAGGACGTCACTGTCTGGTCTGGAAGCCACTAGACACATTTGGCTATTGAGTACTTGAAGTGTGGCAGTGTAACCATGTACATTTAATTGAAACCGAAATCTCAATAGTCACATGTGGCTAGGACAGGTGACTGGACTGCACAGCTCTAAAGTTTAATACAGGTACACTGGACCTAAAATTGGAGTCAGTGATTGTCCAATAAATGGGAAAGGGTGATCCTCAGCCACTGCCCTTAGTGTGACAAGTAAAAATAAAATGGTAGACATTCATGGTATACAATATGATGCTTTAAAATATGTACACTATGCATATGCTGTGAAATGGCTTTTTTTTTTTTTTTTTTTTTTCTTTTTGGACATGGAGTCTCACTGCTGTCGCCCAGGCTGGAGTACAATGGTGCAATCTTGCTCACTGTAACTTTCACCTCCTGAGTTCAAGTGATTCTCCTGCCTCAGCCTCTCAAGTAGCTGGGACTACATACACCTGCCACCACACCTAGCTAATATTTGTATTTTTAGTAGACACGGACTTTCCTGTTGGCCAGGCTGATCTTGAATTCCTGACCACAGGTGATCCACCCACCTTGGCCTCCCAAAGTGCTGGGATTACAAGCATGAGCCACCATGCCCACCCAAAATTTTTTAATTATAAGTTTTTCCAACTGATAAAAGAGCTGGCTCTGAGGAGTCCAGTCAACATTTTTGGCAGCAGTCAAGTTGCTAGAAGGTGGTACCTGTACTCGGAAAAGGGATCTCTGCAATTAAAAAGGGCATGCTAGTTATGTTAAAACTTACGCATGTTTGCTGGGCGCGGTGGCTCAAGCCTGTAATTCCAGCACTTTGGGAGGCTGAGGCGGGTGGATCATGAGGTCAAGAGACCAAGACCATCCTGGTCAACATGGTGAAACCCCGTCTCTACTAAAAATACGAAAAATTAGCTGGGCATGGTGGCGCACGCCTGTAGTCCCAGCTGCTTGGGAGGCTGAGGCGGGAGAATTGCTTGAACCCAGGAGACGGAGGTTGCGGTGAGCCGAGATCGCGCCATTGCACTCCAGCCTGGGTAACAAGAGCGAAACTCCGTCTCAAAAAAAAAAAAAAAAACTTATGAATGTTTATTTTCTGGAAACTTTCCTTGTGAATTTCAACACTACCCAGAAGAGGTTTACCTTGAGAGAAAATCAAAAGACTGAATTAGCATTAGTTGGGATTACGTCTAGGTCTTCTGAGCACCACAGACAGAGGAATAAAAGAGATTAACTGATGGAACCAAAAATCTCTCCTTTTCAATACTGGTTATTCCAGCAACCTCAACAAGCTATTTCTGTGCGGCTAGAATACGATCAAGTCTACATACGTCTAAATCAAAGAGTACTTCTACATTTAAAAATAGCAAACTTCAAAAAGTCAAACAGCTAAAGGGACGTTACAGATGCCACTGGTTCCCCTCTGTGCCCCCACCCAGTCGTTAGACTTCTCCCCTACACAGTGACTTCACACATGAGAGTGCAGGATGGCAATGGGAGCGTCATTAGACTGAAGTGACTAGGTGAAAATGTTAAAAAGCCACAGTTTAAACACAAGGAGATCCAAAATTACGAGATTTTTCTTTTACAATTTAAAAGTATGGTGTGGAATAGGAGCTTGGGAGGGTTAATGACTTTTATACAGATGGAAAAAATATCGTATAAGTCTGGAAATATAAAAACTGGCAGAGTATGGAGAATATATTAACAGATAATTTACCAAATCCTGCATTATATAAACAAGGAATGGTTCCCCCAAACTTGAATAAGACAGACACAAAAAAGGAAGCAGTGAGCAATATAAACTGTCATTCCAAAAGAGTACAGACTTAAAAGAGGGCACAGAGCAGTGACATACATTCATGTATATGGAGTTAGAGGGACACCAGAACCCTGTGGAAGGACGGCTCCGATTTCAGGTAGCAGGGTGGCAATCAGAGGGGGACTCTGAGCTAAATGAACCACTCATCTCTCCAATTTACTTGCTTACACACTGCCCATCCTACATATTTTTTTTATTGCAGTAACCTGGAAATTGTGTAATTTTAAAAAAATGAAAACATTAAACCAGAGTATAGTTTCTGAGAGATGATCACTTTCGGAAGACAGTTAAATCCAGTATTACAGAGTTACAGGGAATCAGGGAAGTCTGATATTTTAATATCTGTATTAAACTTTAGAGCTGTGCAGTCCAGTCACCTGTCCTAGCCACATGTGACTACTGAGATTTCAGTTTCAATTAAATGTACATGGTTACACCGCCACACTTCAAGTGCTCAATAGCCAAATGTGTCTAGTGGCTTCCAGACCAGACAGTGACGTCCTAGGCAAGGTTGAATCCATACCTTTCTTCCTTTGAATAAAAGACTTTCGTTCTCTAATTGTATGATGCACTCATTTTCTGCCCCTGCTTGTAAATTTAGTTAATTCACCTTGATGACTAGTTACAAATTACAATTTTAAAGTATACTTCACTAAGCCAAAAAGAAAATATGCAATATAAAGATAAATCATTATATACCTAAGGAAATAAAAATCTTTGAAATTAGATTCTATTAAAAACTAACTCTATAGAAATGAATAGCAATACTGCCAAACACATATGATAAAAGTCAAAACTGTCACTGTTGGTCTCAAAATACTGTTCAGGGAAGTTCACATGAAAAAGAAGTCTGTTTGTTTTGAAGAGATTTAATTTAAAAAGCAGAAAATTTCTAAGCTTTACCTTGACAAAAATACTGGTAGGTATAAAACGCCTGAGCAGCTGATTTGTGAAGTTAGGAAATCTAAGCAGGTTGATGCTGAGAGACGGTAGCTGCTGGTACCCAGCCATCAGAGGGTAGAAATTGTATAACATCTCCTGCTCTGCACCGGGCAGGATACGTAATCGGATCTGCAGCATAAAAAGTCACAGAGGAAGATCATCAAATACACATATATGCAATGTCTACATGTTGTTATCCTCCGTTATTTACAAAAGATTGGATATCCAAACCCTTTTAGTAAAATACTCGCTCTCTCCTAGTCCATCTTTCAAAATGTAGGGCTAATTAGTATAAGTTTAGAATGAGGCAGACAGGAAATGTATAAAAAATATATGGAGGATTTCTCAGTTTCTACCAAGATCTACAAAGGTAACTTATACCTCTTAAACATAAGAACACTAGACAGGTTAATATTTTCTCTGTCTTAGCCCAGGTAGATTTTAAGTTCACAATATGTTAAGGGATAATTTGTAGAAGAGTGTCTACTTGTAGACATTATGCCAACGTAAAACAAATTAGTTCTAATTTGTTCAGCTGTTTTCATTTTCTCTTAAGGATTTTACCTTTGCGCCACAGTAAGTAATTGCAGGATGGAAAAAAGATGTTTTGAAAATCTTTAGCAATACTTTTAAAAAGTATACAAACTGGTAAGATTTTGGCATCTTTATATTTCCTTTTTTTTTTTTAATTTCCTACTATTTGTAAGTCAACACCTGGAAAAAAATCAAGACACTCAAGAAAAAAAGCTTACTCATTTGTAAATAATACAGTTGGTATATTTGATACTGTATATTGTAAATATAAAACAGTACCCGAACATACAGCGTGTATCACATAACATTCTATTTTGCATTGAACAACAAACAGCCCTTGGAATCTGCAGAGCAGTTGACGAGTCAGGTAAACACTTCCCAGTGGTAAGCCATGCTGTTCTCTAATTATGCCTTGTTAATTAGAAAGTCTTTCCTGACTTTGGAGGGGCATCTCTGCCATCCCTCTCACAGTGGAGAACAGGACTCTCACTGAAGCATGGTTTTGCCTGGGTGTTTTCTTTGCTCATTTAAAAACCTGATGAACTTTTCCAACTCTGATTTGACTGCATGAATCAAAAAATCTAGGTAACTTACAGAAACCTTTGCTGTATTTAAACATAGCAAAGGTTCCATGCAAAATCAAAATCTCTATGAAACTGTACTGATAGAAACACGGGCTATTAATATTAGTACAGTGAGGTCTCCAGGCCTCCCACTGACGCACACACACACACACGCGCACACACACTCATCAGTAATAAAGGAGAGATTTAAGTTTTCCAGGAACTAAAACATAATACAGTCCAAGGATTTGTGGACTTTTGTTTTGTAAGAAGAACCCACATGTCTGATCTCAATGATGTGGCAAAGGTAACCCATCTTTCGAGGGAGCTGTACATAAGGTGCTAAAAAATTCCCCATTACCAAAACAACAGGGACCACAGTCAGCTTTACCCAGTTCATTCATAAAAAGTAAAGGTACAGTTCTCCACTTCCTGGAAACACTTTTGTGTCAACATAAGCAACGCAACATATGACCTGTACCTGTTTGAGACCTGAGAACATGAAGGCATCACTGGGCTCCACAGAAATTTCCACATCTTGAACTAAGTTGGTCTTATTCTGCAGGTGATACTTGACAGGCAAGGACTCTCTGACTCGCCCAAATGATGGCAAATCTACAGAGAAAGATGACACATTTCTCTTGGTTTAAAAAATAGCTCACCATTTATGGCTTCGTTTTGTAAATGAATCTCATTCAACGGACACAGTATCATTTAAATGAATAAAGTTACAGTGTGCTTGCCAGATAAGAAAATTCTTTGACTGGGCAACGGCAATAGGACTATGATAAGACAGGCTAAGGAAAAAGTGTTCTTCTAAAAATGACTGGCCTAGACAGGGTCTTGGCTAGCAGGAATAGAATTATATTTTAGGGATCATTTTTTTAATCTATAAAAGATTTCCCAAAATATCAATCATGGTTCCTAAACTAGAATAAGCAAAAGCTGTGTTTTAGCGAAGTTGTAAGTAAAACTTTCATTCATGCATTTATGGATACACTGTTGTTTGGGTGCGTGCGTGCGTGCATGCGTGCGTGCGTGCATGCGTGCGTGCGTGTGTGTGTGTGTGTTGGCAGCTCTGCCATTTTATTTTTCCTGAGATACAAAAATATGGAGTGCTTCATGAATTTGAGTGTCATCCTTGCACAGGGCCACGCTAATCTCTGCACCATTCCCATTTCAGCATACATACTGTTGAAGTGAGCACTATATACAGTTTTTTTCAAATTATAGACATTAGGATAACTGAACAGTTAATAAAGGAAAGTTTCTCTTCAAGAAGTATTCCAGTAAAGAAAGAATGAGGGACAGATGTTATCTGCCTCCTGGTGGGAGCACACACCATTTATGAAGTATTCTTGTCAAAAACCTGACCCTGAATCTGTTATCAAGCCTATAGACACGCCAATTTACAGGAACAGAGAAACATTTAAAAATGACACCATGCAATCTGCAAAATTCAGCCTGTGGGAAACTCTATAGGACAAATGACTTAGTTTCTTAAGCAAGAAAGAGATGGAGGTAGGGAGGAGAGGGACAGAGTGGTTGAGAAAGTGGTATTAGAAGAGGTGACGGAGGGGTTAATGGTGGAAGTCGGGGGAGAGGAGAGAGGCTGTGGGAGAAGGGAGGTAGTCAGCCTACCTGCCTACCTATAGGTTATAGATGGATAGCATGAGACTTATCCATCAATTACAGTATAGACCTCAAAATAAACTGAAAAAACATCCAAAGTTAACTAGGAAATTTTCAGCACTGGAATTTGATGACATTAAGACACTATTGCTAATTTTTAAAGTCATAATAATGGTACTATAATTATATATTTTAAAATACCCATTATTTTTAAAAGAGGCATATGAAAGTATGGCTTGAAATGGTATCGAGGATTTGTTTCAAAATAACAGGGGTGGGAGGAGTGTGTAGAGGTAGAGATGAAACAAGACTGGCCATAACCGACTTTTACAAATGTTGAAAAATTTTCATAACAGGATGTTAAAATAACTAAACTCTTAGAAGTTAAAATAACTACTGTTATTGGATCCTTCTCATCAAGTAAAATTTAAATTCTGCTACCTGCATTGACATGGAGAGGGATAGTTTCCACAATCACATGTGGCAGAGTGATGACAGTACTGATGGTGGGGATGTTCTCCATGGCTGAAGTCCTGTGACAAAAGAGGTCATCTTTTAAACTCACACTTTCCAAAAGAAGTTAATAAATCAAAAACAGGAAACGTGTACTCACCAACTAATTTCAAAAGAAATATGTTACTTATCCATTTCCCAAAATATTATTATTATTATTATTATTATTATTATTATTTGAGACAGAGCCTCACTCTGTCACCCAGGCTAGAGTGCAATGGCACAATCTCAGCTCACTGCAACCTCTGCCTCCTGAGTTCAAGCAATTCTCCTGTCTCAGCCTTCCGAGTAGCTGGGATTACAGGTGCACACCACCACACCCAGCTAATTTTTGTATTTTTAGCAGAGATGAGGTTTTGCTACGTTGGCCAAGCTGGTCTTGAACTCCTGACCTCAGGTGATCCACCCGCCTTGGCCTCCCTAAGTGCTGGGATTACAGGCATCAGCCATCATGCCCGGCCTTCTAAAATTATTAGTGGAAGTGGTTTTGCGAAGTTAAGAGCTTTTAAAATTCCATGTCTGAATATTTCCAGTTAACAAATGATAATGACCCAGGGCTGCTTTGTATTACCAGCGGGGGATAATCATTATGCACACCATTTAATACAGTGTTTTGGTAGCAATACTTTCTCAATTCAGGAACAGTGAAGTGATTTAAATTGTAACATAAATTCCTTAACTCACTGAGGATGGTTTACAGGTGGGCCCGAGACCAGTTTGAAGAGCACTGTTGTAACTCACTACAAGTATATAGCAGAAACTGAAGAACTGAAAGTATTTTACCATCAACAAACGTGGTAGTATTCCCATATTTAGGGAGCCAAAGTAACATTATGAAACTGGTAAGGAACTACAGGGGTGGTGCCAGGGAAATCCCTGTGAGTCTAGGGGCAGAGCAGCTGACATTATGTGCGAATTACCAGACAGCAAAAGCAACAGGCAAAAAAAATCTAAGCCCTCATCAGTAATACACAAATACACCTCTGTCATAATACCGCAGCATGACGGAATAATTCAGCAGGGCCTTAAACATGCTGTTTTGACAATGACAATCAAATAAATAAAACTCAACATCAATATGGTAAATTCAGGAATGGAGAAAAGAAAGACAAGTTTATTTACTTCTTAGTAATATTACGTATTTCTCAATTCTTAAAAAGTTTCTGCTTTAGTTCCTAACATGGTAAATATTTGTGCATATAATTAACATAAATAAGCTGTTCAGGGTTCTCAATGATTTTTCAAAGTGTAAAGGTGTCTTGAGACCAAAACGTTTGAGAACTGTGGGCCTACAGTTATCTTTTATTTTCTGCCTTTGTCAGGCTTAGGGATGGGTGCTCTTCATGAACAGACCCAAGGAATTTTCCTTCTTGCTCTATGCTTTGCATATAATTTATAACATGAAAACAATAAATAATACCATGTAATTATATATGCTAAACATATATTCTTTGAAGATAGTCTCATGAATTTCCTCCAGTTATACTGGTTTTTTAGGTTAAAAATTTTCCTTTAGTCAATTTTTATAATTTATAACCTTTTTGTGACAGCCATAACATTCAGATCTTTCTACTCATTACTCTTGAGTTGTATAAAACATTCCCTTAAAACTAGTATCTTCTGATTCCTTTCTCATTTTTAAGTAATACATGTTATTCCCTGCTTTAAAATTTCTGAAAGTAATTAAGCCATACCAAGGGGATAATACATGAATATCACGTATCTACTTCCCAGTCTAAGAAATAAATTACAACGATACAACTGAATCTTCTTGCAGAGCCCTTCCTGCTTGTATCTCCCCACCCCAAAGGTAACCACTGTCCTGAATCTGGTATTTATTATTCCTATGTATTTTATACTTTTCCAAATTATGTATGTAGTCCTAAGAAATATATAGCATGTTTGACATGTTTTTCAATGTCATATTAATATAATTTATTCATATTCTCATCAGTAGCTTGCTTTGCTCACTTTACCTTAAGATGTTGATACATGTAGCTCTGGTTCATTCATCTCACTGATACATAGTATTCCATTGTGTGAATATGTCACAATTTATTCTCTTTTCTATTGATGGGCATTTAGTTTTTTTTCCACCCCCCCATTTTTTTTACTATTACAATCAATGCTACTATGAACTTTTTTTTTTTTTTAATCAGGTTCTTGCTCTGTTGCCCAGGCTACAGTGCAGTGGCACAATCTCAGCTTACTGTAACCTCAACCTTTTGGGCTCAAGCCATCCTCCCACCTCAGCCTCCTGAGTAGCTGGGACTACAGGAGTGCATCACTGAGCCCAGCTAATTTTTGTATTTTTTCAAACTCCTGGGTTCCAGTAATTCTCCCATCTCAGTCTACGAAAGTGCTGAGATTACAAGTGTGAGCCATTGCACCCAGCCATGAACATTCTTTTTTTTTTTTTGGAGACGGAGTTTCACTCTTGTTACCCAGGCTGGAGTGCAATGGCACAATCTCGGCTCACCGCAACCTCTGCCTCCTGGGTTCAGGCAATTCTCCTGCCTCAGCCTCCTGAGTAGCTGGGATTATAGGCACGTGCCACCATGCCCAACTAATTTTTTGTATTTTTAGTAGAGACGGGGTTTCATCATGTTGACCAGGATGGTCTCGATCTCTTGACCTCGCGATCCACCTGCCTCGGCCTCCCAAAGTGCTGGGATTACAGGCCTGAGCCACCACGCCTGGCGAACATTCTTATACATACACCCTTTGTGTACAGATTTAGTTTGGCTAAAATTTCAATAGCATATAAGTCACAAATTGTGACAAGCACAAATTCAGGTTTAATTATCTTTTTCAGCTTTGTGTTCATATACATGTGACTTCTGCTCTTCAGAATGACAGAAACTCTCAAATATTAAGTGACAAAGATGAATAATAAAGATATCAGAATAACAAAGACACTGAAGAAAAGACCAGATTGATATAATTTTTACCTTTTCCAAGAGATAATATAATGGCCGGTTGCTACTCCACCTTCAACATTTCCAAGAGATGGACATCGAAGACAAAAGCATTCACTAGCACTCTCTCCAGTCTGTAAGACAACTACAGGGAAGAGTCTTTATACTCTTTATGCAATGGTTTCATCTATGAAATGAGAGTTTCACATCCAAGTAATATAACAAAGAAAGAATATCTCACCCATTATATATTATTTATAGAAACTCACAAAGTAGGGCTCAAAGATGTTAAATGACTTTTTCAAGGTCACAAAGTCCACTGTTTTTGCTAATGTATCAATATTCCATTACAATAAAATCCAGCGAGGCATCTATATATCTGTGAGTCAGTCCTATGGAAACTAATGAATGTGAAAAGCTTAGAGACAGAATAATTATCTTATGGTGATTGTTTTTCTTTTTCTAAATTATTTCACGCCTCCAAAGTAAATACTTTGGGGTAGAGAAAAAGCAAATAGAAAACTTCCGCTACCCTTAAAGTACTCAAAATATTCCAGAAAATTGTGGCTTTCTCTTAATAAACACATACAGGTTGATCATCCCTAATCTAAAAATCGGAAACCAAAATGCTTCAAAATCTGAAATGTTTTGAGTGCCAACATGACACAAAAAGGTTATTCTACAAGGAAAGGCATCCAGGCGTGGTGGCTCACAACCGTAATCTCACTTGGGGAGGCCAAGGCAGGAGGATTGCTTGAGCTCTGGAGTTTGAAACTAGCCTGGGCAACCAAAGGACACCCCGTCCCTTTAAATAATTAAATTAGCCAGGTGTGATGGCATGCACCTGTGGTCCCAGCTACTTGGGAGGCTGAGGCAGGAGAATAGCTTGAGCCAGGGAGTCCGAGGCTACAGTGAGCCATCATCCTGCCGCTGCACTCCAGCCTGGGTGACAGAGTGAGACCCTGTCTCCAAAATGAAAACAAAAAATTTTAAAAGGCCGGGCACAGTGGCTTATGCCCTGTAATCCCAGTACTTTAGGAGGCCGAGGTGGGTGGATCATGAGGCCAAGAGATCGAGACCATTCCGGCCAACACAGTGAAGCCCCAACTCTACTAAAAACACAAAAAATTAGCTGGGCATGGTG